ATTGCCTATAAGCGCAATAAAAACCTTAGTAATTTTCTGGTCCGTGGTAGACTCGATCCCATTGAATCCAATAATACTTGACCCCCCTCTCTATTTTCTAGCTCATTAAGTTTAATATATTCTAATCCTTATATATAGATGTTTATCTTTTCAGAACCTATTCATACTCTTTTCTTTTAGAACTGGTAACAAGAAAACTTTCATATTATAGACTTTTGTTTATTTAGATTACTCGTGGTTGTTTTTTTAACTTAATACTAACTATGCTAACTTCACCTTATCTTGTATTGAACATTTATCTCTTTATTTGTGACCTTGGCCAGTGCTTTACATAGAAGTTTTTAGGAACTTCTTCACTCTTAACACTAGATTGGGTTACTGACTAAGCCAGGAATATCCAGCCCGTTTCCATTTATATCTATTACAATAATAGCACTTGCCAAATTAATATGTTCCAAATGGGTGAATAGAATAGAAATATAACTGAGAATAACAAGGTATATCAGGAGTTATATATATCAGTAAAATAAACACCTGTTTTTAAACCATGGCATCTGGCCAACCAGGGTAACAATATGGTTATATCAGCTGATTTATGTTATAAATAACCTCAAGAATTTTACTTTTTATAATAAATAATATGACTCATACTTAGAAAGTAAGTTCCTCTTCAATTGATCATAATACAAGTTTGTTTACATTGATCATACAGATTACTACAAGTCCGGAAAGCCATTTCCATCTAGTTGGCCTGATGAGGTTTACATATCAATAAACAGATATTGTCAATGACAATTTGTCATCAATAAAGGTCCTGGTTTGTAATCTTAGTTGGTCGCAGTGTGAATATTTGGTTGAAAAGCTTGAAAAAGTAATCTTTCCTCATTATTCAAGATGTCCTAGCTGTAAATGGTATGTAAAGATATGATATTTATAAAATTGCAATTTATGATGAAAAGATTATTAACTACTAGAATAATCATGCTCATATCAATCAACTTGAAAACCTTCTTCAGAATAAATATCCACATCACAATTTAGCATTCACAAATAAAAATAACAACCTAAAAATTGAGTACCAAGTCAAGTTAATATTTTGCCAGCCAGCAGATAAAACTTGTGCATTCAAAAAAACAAGTTTATAACTAATATCAGATAAGTTATAATTAAGTTAATATAATATTTGACTACTTGACATAAGTAAATAAGGTTATAAAATTATATTATATAAACCTGAAACCTATCTTAGAATTAATATCTACTTAATATTACAAACCTACAGGTACATTGCAGCTTATGAGACTGTTCACAAAATTATCAACAAGTGATTGCCTAGCAAGATACGCCCACTTTGCTGATAAATTTTGGGTATATCAAGGGCAGTCACCTATCTGTGTCAAATCATACCAAAAATCTAATTTGAGCAAGATATTGTTGTTTTAATCAAACACACATTATGTAATAAAATTTTGACATAAACTGTCACATATATCGCGTTAACAAGCCAACAAGTCAAGGGCAATAACTCAAATTTCGTTCATCAAAATATTGTCAAATTCACACGACTAAGATCTCATCAATATAAATGACAAATTTTTATTAAAATCAGATAAAAACTGTAGTCTTTATAGTGTTCACAAACTTTGATTGCATAAATATAATAAATTATCTAGCATGAACATAATCTATCCCCTTAATGTTACAAACCTACAGGTATATTGCAGATAACCAGAATTTTCAAAATATCCAATATCGAAGGACTAAACCATATTTTGCAAACAAGCAGAGATATATGTATCCATAAAATAGCTTGACTTATAAGTTATACCTTATATCTTATATCAGATAACTGATGTTATAATATATATTTCATAATAAGTATTTATAAGTTTTGTATGGATTTTTATTTTTGCTACTAGATATAAAAAAAATAAGGTTATGAAATTACATTATATAAACCTGAAACCTATAAAATCAATATCCACTTAATGATACAAATCTACAGGTATTATGCAGCCCACAAGGCACAAAATTATACCAAATTGAGCATCCACATAGCCTAACTTAAATCAGATGTATTATAATATAAATTTGATAATATAAGTTAATATAATCTTTGCCTACTTGACATAAGTAAATAAGGTTATAAAATTATATTATATAAACCTGAAACCTATAAAATCAATATCTACTTATTATTACAAACCTACAGGTATGACGCAGCTCACTAGCACTAGACTTTCCACCAAATTTTTCAGAATTGATCACAGTCATCAAATAACCAAGTTTGCAAACAAGAAAATGATGCAACTATACTGTTTGGTCACACTTTCAAAACATGATCACTATTCCTTTAACTCTTATCACACATTACAAGCATGACCATTTAATCATAATACCTGGTAGTAATAGTGCTACACTTAAACGAACTTGGTGAATGTCTGTCACACTCAAATTTAACAAAAATTGATGATAACAATGTCCACAGACCTCAGCTAGACGGTCAGAGTCAAATGTTGTTTTTAACAATGTTCAAAATGAGATAGATTTATCAAGTCTAGCCAATTTGGATTATGAATTTATATCTTATAAGTTTATCAAACAACAAATAAAGGGAGTCAGTGACCTAGCATGCCTCAACATACCTACCTTCCATGGTCGGCCATTTTAGGGGTCATAGTGAACAGAAATAGTAATCAAAAATGTAGGAACTGCACGTAATTGAATGATCCCTTCAAAGATACCTCAAACTAGAAATTTCATTTTTTATTCCGATATCTTGTGAAGCAATCCCCTTTAAAATTGTATAAGATAATTGATACAATTCAACATGCACAACGAAGAGTGGGTGATACATGCGTTTGTCCTTGATTTGTTTGTTTGTTTGTCCACATAAACAAGGCTTATCTTTCATGTCAAACCACTTTAACATGCAAATCAGTGACCAAGAGATACTGTATTGATTACTATAACTTAAAGGGATTGTCAAGAGGTTTTGTAAAAAAACGTTATTTGTATTGGGGACACTGATAGCATCATGATGTCACCATTTGGGAAAGGCCATATGCATTGAGGATATTATGCGATTAGCAACGTCATCAAACACTAAGTTTTAGTGAAATTGCTAGAACCACAGATGTCTGATTGAAAATTGAAATGGTGAAAATTAATGTTAAAGATACACATAAAAAATTTAGAAAACATCTTCACAATCCCTCTAAAAGATAGCCTTTTCAGAACTGTACTAAAATGCACATTTAGTACCTACAAGGTTACAAGCAAAACAATTCCAGTAACTAAAATGTTGTCCAAGGAATGACAAAATCAGGAGCAATGATTATATAGTAGTGGCAGACTTTCTTTTTAAGATATTTTGAGTTTTATGAAAAGCATTTCCAATTTTCAATTAATAAACTTTGATACCTCTTGATACTAGTTATGGCAGAATAGCATTCCCACAAATAAAAAGTTCCACTCTACAGCCTTTAATGGATAATATTTAAGAGGGCTGCAACGATTCTTGAAGTTTTGATTTGAAACAATACGATACTCATCCAACAATACGATTTATTGTGATAATTATCACAATTCATTTATTACAGAAGGAAAATAGTAGGAATTTGTAAAATTACTAACAAGTTTGTCACTATTAAGCACTTGAGAACATTTAGAAGAAAGGGATTGTGAAAAAAATCTCAATTTTGAAAGTCAGAAATATAATTTTTGCAAATTTTGATGTGAAAATTATAGTTGGAAAATGAAAACATGACACAATTTCTTATACACACAAGGATTCTATGTCATTTGATATTAAAGGGGGCTAAGAATTAATTGTGCTGATACATCATGATTATTTTTATCTAACGCAATGCATCAATAAGAAGGACAGAATCGTGGTTCATCGATTCAGCTGCTAATCGTTGCAAGCCCTAATATTCAGCCATTTTTACAGGTTTTAAAGATTGTCACATGATCATGTTAATTTGCCAGTTCAAACTCTGTAAACAAAGCCAATCTGAAACAAATACTAGTAGAAATGCATTTTCCTGATTTATTGCTCATTTTAACAAGTTTCTGATTTCAAATAATTAATTGCTTATGTAGGCCTAGCTTTCATTCTCATTAAAGTACAAAGTTGTAAATCTTATGACACCATATTTCATGAAAGTTCCAGAAACTAAGTTTTTTTTCTATCCGATTCATGGCTCAATTTCTTATTTTTCAAATCAAACCTACAGATTAAGGCATCTTTCAGTCATTCTACATATTCGAGTGAAAAAAGGGATTGCAGAAAGTTATGGCTAGGACCAAGCTTGGACTTAAAGTTAAGCCAAACTTAGTCTTTACCATTGTCACTATAGCTATTGTTTAACAATAATTATTATTCAATGTTATTTATTCGAGTCTTGCACATTATTTTTTAAGACATGCTATAAAGGTCAAAAATGCCTTCAGTCTGAATTTTGACATTTCGACAAATTCTGCCATTTTTTCTATTTCAAATTAAAAAACATCTATTGCGCTGCAAAATTAAAGTAGAAATATATCAGTATCAATAATTTTCAAAGTTATTCAATTAAATCTTGCACATTATTTCATTTTAGAAGACATGCTAAGGGTCAAAAATGCCTTGAATCTGAATCTGGACTGATCCACAGCAAAGTCTTCCATGTTTTTTGATTAAAAATTCGAAAATATGGTTTGCTTTAGACTAAATTTTCCTATAATTATTTTCAAAGTTAAATTAAATCTTACACATTATTTTCATGATATGCTCAAAGTCAGAAACCTGCTTTGTATGAAATTTTAAACTGATACAGGATCTATGGCAGACGTTACCCTGCTTTCCAATTAAAATTCAAAATCATTTACTTCTGCAAAACAATTCACCTTCTTTACTGTTGAGTAGAAAGTACTAAATTATATTCTGTGCCTTATTTTCTAAGCAGAGTTCAATGTCATACCGGTACTCGAAAAGTATTACTTGTAGCATTATCAGGTCAATTCAATAGTCTCATTCTCTTGTAACATGCTACAGGAAACAAAAACATGGACTTTGAACCTTGTGGTAAACTATAATAGTAAGATTATTAGCTGAATTAGTTTACAATGCTAATTCTACTACAAGTTAAGGCCTACGGCCTAGTAGCCTAAAGGCAGTAACGTAGATATGATGATGAAATATTATAGCAAGAACAGAAATATACATTCACAGTTGGACAAGCACACCTTATAAAAGCTGTAGCCTTTATTTATTGAAAGCAAGGGTTAGAACAGGTTTTAGGTTATTAAAAGTGGTTGTATAACTCGGTTTCTACTACTTCCACACACATAATCAATTCATGACCTATAAACCTCAGGATACGACCCATTTATTTTCATCATCATAAATAGCCAAAGATCTGACCGTTCATAAACTACAGAAAGAATCTGAAGTTTGAAGTTTAGAAAGCATAACAACCAACCAGACATTTTAATTTGGTATAAGAATAATCAGATAATGCATACATTTTATAAAAAAAAACAATTTACGTTTCAAAGTTCACGTTTGTTTATCATTGTTTTACATGTTTATGGACAGCAATATGCACAAAAAGTCAATAATAACAATAAATTCTAACCTGTAAGCTAGGGTCATACACTCGAATAACTTGGTTAATGAGGCATCAATGGCAAGGGTGTGATCACTCTTAGGTCCAAAGCTATAAGTTTTGGAAGTTTCCTTGTTGGCAGTAACAAAATCAAAGGCATCGTCGCTGGTTTCCAAAGGGACATCATCAAATTCTTCTGATACTACGTCGTGAACACGGCTGACCATAAAATGTCCACTGTGAATTGTTTGCCTACTGGCTATTTCCACTTGTCCACCTTCTTTCTGTTCCCTCATATTATTACCAGTACCTAATTTCTGCAAATCATCAACTGCCATCACAGTTGAATGTCTATAAAAGTTGAAATCTGTAAAATATTCGATCGAAAATAAGTAACAAGTTTTCTTGTTGATTCGCCATGCTAAATGATCAGCTGTACGGTGCGTGATCAGAATTTTCAACCAATCAAATGGCCAGGTTCATTTTCTGGGTGAAGGTCGAATACTTTTATTATTTAAAGGGAGATAATTTGAAAATAAAAAATTGTAAATAAATATTATTTTGTCAACAATAAATAGTCAATTTTAATAATTTGATTGCTTCCAAATACCAAATATAAATTTTAACTGAATGTGTGGTATTTCAAATTGATAATAGGCCTATAATTTTTTTGTATATTAAAAAAAGAAAAAGCTTTATCAGTTTTTCGGGTGGGATAGTTTTACAAATCATTGATGGCCTACTCTATCTAAACCAGTATCAGTCTTTCACCCCTTTATCAGGCCTAGGCTACACCAAAAACTGATATCTAACGAGGGAAGTCTAAATAAGCTCATATAAATTGTTCCTTGACATCACTGGGCACTTTTCTTGTATCACCAAATTGATTGGAATTGTATTATACGCTAACAAAAACAGCCAAATAGAGTTTTTGAGCTCTCGACAGATGACTGTGAACATTATAATTATAATGGCTTATTGTTTACAGACTTCTGTCGAGTGTTCTGATTGGCTGTATTGGCTACCGTACAATCCAATAAAATTGCTCTCTATTAAATCTCTAAAAGGTGACTATAGCGCAGTCAATTTAATTTACCGGTAAGCCCTATAGACACAGTTCGTGATAGCATGACATTGAGAAAATGATCTTTAGCAGGGAGTAATAAGAGGCGACCAGGCCAGGAGCCTACCTGAATAAAAGTAGGTTGGATATGCATGGTTCATGTAATATTGTGTCATTTTACCAGGATGCCGAATACGCCTTCAATCTGAAAAAAGAAACGGAACACCAATATTGCAATTTTCACTTTTCATCTCTCAATTGTGAACAACCAGTACCTAAAACATTGCATCATTAATGCACAGCATCGAAACGGAACGCATATTTACTCTTCAAAAAACTGGAAAATAATGTAATTGTTTTATGTTTGCTGAGTTGTAGAATGTTAATTGTTACACCTATAATTGATTACTGCACTACTCGTAGAATGGTAATTGTGATGTTGGCGATAGAGAATAAATGTACATGATGTGTAAGCCAAACGGACTGGTGATTGTCTTGTTGCTACATCAAACAGGGCCGTATTAGGCCACGAAGTTGTTGAGGTATTTTAAACTAGTTGAGAACCCTTATGTTAAGTAATTATATATAATAAAACAAGGTGCTCACTACTTAAAACTTAAGGATCCTAAAGGGAAGGTGACCCTTTACTGATTTTGAATCAACAATCAAGTTTGTATCATGCATGGAATATGTAGTATTAGACTAATTAGTGCCAATTTGTATCATAAATTAAATGTATCTTTATTGAACTGCAGTTAGCTGAATACAGTCAAGTATTCAATACATTCTGCATAATATAATGTAATACACATAAAATTACATATAGTTAATAACTGAACAGCATATTGATTTATTTGCATATAAGTGTAAAAAATCAGTCACCGTTTTTTTTTTCAACCATTCGAAATTACAATCGTTACTACATCAAGGCAAATGAGGCAAATGCTTCATGCAGAATTTGTCAAAAAATATATTTTGTTTAAAAAATTAAAAATATAATATATTTATCTGTTAAATATATCGCCTATTTTATGTCTATTATATTAGGTGGTTACCGTTTGAAGTCTAGAGTAACCGTTGCGATGAAAGTCATAACTGACTTCAAAGACAACTGGGTTTTTGTATAAAAACTGTCAAAATATACATCTGGTCCATACATCAACAATGTAATGTACTCCTTGTCGAATGCAAATTTTCATACGAGTGTAATATATTATTTAAACCAAGGACAGAGTAATAAATAAAGCAATAAATAGGCTACATGATCATGTGTAAGCTGTTTGGAATGGTAATTGTCATGTCAATGTATCTGGTCAAAAATAGTGTAATATATATAACATATAACCCACGAACAGGGTAATTGCTGCTGCAGTAAATATATTAACCGCTGATAAGATTGTACGCTATTGGTAATTGTCTTAATATTGAAAAAAAAAGTCTCAACAAATGTAACCTTGAACATGGTAATTGCTACGCCAATGAATAGATAGACTATGTGGAAAGTTAATTGCAAATGGTAATTGTCACAATATATTATTTGAGTCAAAAAAGTGTAATCATTGTTTTAGATTAATATAGTATGTGTTATAGCATGTTTAAACAGTACATTATCGCGATAAGGATCTATAATCATGTACGCCAACGACAACAAACGTTGTAGGTCTATTTTATCGATTAAATTATTTTTGGATATCTGTTTTCTATCTATGTCACGTTGTATTCTATTGAATTGCGTGTAGAGGTTAAAGTCCAGTAGGATCGGTTATGAAAGCGTATATGTTTTTCAGAATGAAAAATCGCATAGGCTTTACAGTCGTGTGTGATAAGGCAATATATTGCAATTTGTGACGTCACCAAATATTTAGTTATAGTGGAATTGCAGGAACCACAGACGTCTGATTGAAAATCGGAATGGTGCAAATTGGTGCTGTCAGTGTCCCAGATATTTTTCAAAAAATTAAGAAAAACCCTTTACAGTCCCTTTAACTATAGTTTTACATATTACTGTGGCAAATTTACTCTGTTTTTGACCCGATTTCAGGGACCAATTATTTACCTAGTGACCACTTTACCCTGTCACCATAATACTATAACCAATTTACCTTTATCATAGTTTCCTTCAACTCACGTGACTATGTTTTAAAGGGAAAGATGTGCCGTTCTTTTAATTGACCAATCATACTTAAGTCTCGATTTTTTTAAGCTAAACCAATCAGCAACAGTGTTCACAGCTCACCGCCGAAATTTGAGCATTCAAATCAATGTGTGTCCATAATTATCCACGTTTGAATGTTAAAATGACGACTCGTCATTTTAAGATACTTTGTGATATATTATATAGAAATTGTAAAAAAGAAGACTAAAATACCAGTTTGTCCCACATATCCATAATTAATTCATAATTAGCTAAATTAGAAGAGAATTACTAGGAGAATTCCAATGAGTGACCGATCAGGAAGGTCAAAAAGTCTTTTTTGTTTTGTTTATCCAGACTGTACATACATGGAGATGTATTACTGGTTAAAACTATTAATTATATGCAATAATAACATAATGCTATGATTAAGAATACATGAAATTCATTAGAATCACCAACAAATCAAATAGTTTGCTTAATTTGACACTAAAAAAATAAGGAAACCCATCTTTAACAGAAATAGTATTATATCATGAAGTGTTTGCAATCCAAAGAGATCAGCAAGGTGGAAATAAGAAGGACTTTGTCCTTATTAATCATATCAAAGTTTTTAGTATACGTTCTGCGAAACGTTACTCATCTTCACAATGTCCTATTATTATCTAATACCTTGAAATCATTAGGTACTTTTCTTGTATCCCCCTTGTTTGTAAATACAGTGATTTGATTGGGTTGTTCGCTAGAGAGTACAGCCAATCAGAGCTCTCAACAGTAACTCTTTTAAAGGTATATTACGTCTTAGAATGAACATAAAATTTAAGAATTTTGAACTTGGCCAATAAGAGCATATATATTCATCAGTAGATATACCTGGTGTCATAAATAACATAACAGGATCCTTATATAATCTGATAAATCCAAAAAACTTAGTAATTATCCATAAATATGTAATTAGCTATTGAAAAACGCCTAATATTAAGAATAAACGTTTTTCAATAATAACTTAGTTTTATGAATTTTCCAATTTTACAGATTTTACAGGGATTCTATTTTAACTTTATTACACTGGGTAAGTTCACTGATGAATATATACTTATATTGACCATTCTTGAGAACTTAAATTTTATGTTCATTCTAAGACATAATATCACTTTAAAACATATTACCTCTTTACAGTCTTCCAGTCTTGAAGGTTCTAATTGGCTGTTCGCTAGCTTATAGCCCAATCAAATGGGTGCATTTAGAATGAGTTCGAAATAGACACAATGGTCTATGTCAAAAATTTTTCGATAGTATCCCACAACAGGATGTCAATGGAAAGAAATAGTATTTAAATTAATGTAGGTTGCCTAAAGATAAATATCCATATATCACATATCCATAATTAATTCATAATTAGCTAAATTAGAAGAGAATTCCCAGCAAAATTCATATAAGTGACCGATCGGGAAGGTCAAAAAGTCTTTTTTTTTGTTTATCCAGACTGTACATACATGGAGGTGTATTACTGGTTAAAACTCTTAATTATATGCAATAATAACATAATGCTATGATTAGGAATACTTGAAATTCATTAGAAACACCAACAAATCAAATAGTTTGCTTAATTTGACACTAAAAAATAAGCAAACCTATCTTTAACAAAAAATAGTATTATATCATGAAGTGTTTGCAATCCTAACGCAATAGAAGATGGGCTTCATTTCTTATTAATAGGCTATATCCTTGTTTTTATCAAGATTTTACTTCACGATTTTTACCCAAATATAACTATGTATATCCTCCCTTAGAAAAGTTTTCAGAAATTATGTCCTCAAATTCGAACCTGATTTTAAAGTGATACTACGTCTTAGAATTAACATAAAATTTAAGAATTTTAAACTTGGCGAATAAGAGCCAGTAGATATTAATTTCAAGTTTAAGCGTTTTTCAATAATTGATAAACAAACAAACAAAATAAAAAAAAAGAAATAAATAAATAAATTAAAAAGGCTGCCGCGTCCCCCTTTCTTTATTTTTTTTTTTCGATTTTATAAAAGCAGGCAGCACTATCATACATTGGTAAGGAATAATGCACCGCAAATAAGCTATTAAAACCCTTTTAAAATAGCCTAACAATCGGTTTATCAACACAATTT